TTTTTTTTTTTTTTTTTTTTTAACGAGGTGTCCCAGCTTGCGCCAGACGATATCCTCATCCCTGAACCTCCGGCCTCTCAGCTGCTCAGGGAGGTAAATTACAGGTTGTGCCCTTGTTGGTTCCCAGGTTCCCACATGGCTTTTACTCCTTCTCCATATGATACACAACTTTTAGTTATACACTTTACCGTCTCATTAACATAAAAGAAATGCTTGTTCAGCGAAGGAGTTCTCGTGATTGTAAATTGAAGAACCATAATGTAGATACTATAGCCACCAGAATTATTCAGATGATCATACATGATTGCGAAATTCAATTCCAGAACTAAAAATATTGAAGAGTTTTCTCGTTTTCCAAGTTAAAGTTAGTCAAAATTATAGTAATTATTCCCATAGTTATGAATTCAAAAAATGCGCTGAAATTTTTTAGCTAAGTGAAAATAGATGTCATGCATATAAATTTTAAACAGCATTTGAATTGTTAAATAACATGTGTCCAATCCAAATAGATGCAGTCTTGCCGGAGAAAGGAGAGCTAAGCCAAATAACAAGTTAAATTCAAAAATTCAGGCATCAAGTTACTCATTTTAACATCTCTACATACATGTTTGTTCCCATTCTTTTGGTTAGAGCGCGAACACTGTACCTGGTAAGGGGAAGCTGATGGTGGAATTGATATTGTCCTTCATCTAGCTTTGCAAATTTAAGAAAGCAAAGAATCGATTATTGATCTGTGTGATATACTTATATTCGAAAGCATATAAAATTGAAGAGACATTTATTCTCGAATACTTGGACGGCTTAACAAGAGATTTTGATAGTGATCTTGAAACAGATCGATCCATCGATTTGCTGCACAAGGAACATATTACTTGAATAAACAAATAAATTCTACCTTAGAGATCGAGCATATATACTTTAAACTAAAAAATTCATTTTGTTCCTTTTGGGACTTCTGCTTCTACTGCGACTTTTGCGTGGCCTTCTCGAACAGGCTGCGATTGTATTCCTTCACTTGAATTCATCGATTTACAAAAAAAAAAGTTTATTATTTCACAAGATACTTGCTTTCGTAAAAATAGTATTGTATGAATTCTTAGATTTCAATAGTACGAAAACGATCTTCTAAGAGTTAAATCCCGCTAAGAAGTAAAAAGTTCAAGATTTGACCATTGCATAGGTTACAGAGGCTCAAAATTTAATTTCTAACACAATATTAGAAACTGAATTCCAAGTGCTTACCTTGGTTTTTTTGGTGAAGAAGAAATGACATTCTTTGAAAATTTAATCCTTAAAAGAGAAGAAAATAGACAAAGAAGAGAAAAAATATAAAAGAATACTCGGATATAATTCTGGTCGGAGGATTCTTCAACTCGTTATCATCAAGTTTCCAGATCTGAGCAAGAGAAAAACAAATTACCAAATTGACTTGAAAAATTCATGGATGCACGGATACACAGAAGCTTAAACATTTTGAAGATAAATATATCTATGACTTACAGCATAATTAATGTCTTCATAATTACTATAGTCAACTAGGCCAAAGGTTCTTGAATACAATAACAAATGTTTATAGATCCATTAGTATCTCTATAGTAAAAAATAGTATTAGGAAAATAACTTACCGTCATCATCACAAGAAACTTCAGCAAAACAAACATCCCTAGATTTTCACATGTAATCCTGAAACAATTTTTCACAAGACAAATGTAATTGCCAAAAAAAAAAAAAAAAAGGAGCAACAACAAAGTTCGAACTCAGAAAATTCTACTTACCTTCAAATCTTGCCAAGAAGCAGAGAAGGATTACATATTTCTTCTAGCATGTCCAATATCTCATTTCAATAAGTGAACAATAAACTAAAAGAACATCCAGCTACAATAATGTTTACAAAAATATAAATCACAAAATAGAGAAAAAGATGGAAGAGGAAACTCTTACTTCTTTAAAGCTCCCGTCTGGTTCTGTAAGGATGTGAGTGCTATTCCATAACTCACCAATAAGCTTAGTTAGGTCTTCCGAAGGAGATCATAGACGTTGATTCATCCACCTTTGATGCTAACTTCAATAATCAATAAAATGCATTAATGCTCTGCAAGCATAGTTATTAGATTAGCAAAAGTGACATTAGTATGAAGAAAGGTGTAAAACAAACAAAGAATCCCAAGTGACTGCAGCTATATTGAATTGCAAGTTGAATAAAGAATTTTTGATTATGTAATATCTAAAAATGCCATGCTTACCTTAACTTTGCAGAATCAAAAATAGCCCCACTTTTGTTAACACGCTCAATTGTGAACTCTTCAACTGCAAACCGTGATAGATTTTGAAGTCATTACATCAACAAAACATAATGACATCTATCAGCTTAAGTTGCAAGAAGCGTTACATGTATTACACAGATTTTGGAAACTAACCAAGTTGGTAGAGTCCAAAAAATTCACTCTCAGTACCATCATCCCATTCCAATAGTGCAAGATAGTTCACCATAGCCTCAGGCAAAAATCCCATCTCCGTGAACTATCAAATGGAAATATTACAAATGACATTAGTCCTGAATAAGTTGAAAAAGTAACCACGTTGAAATTGATAGGCTACAATCCATCTCAGTCATTCTAGAATGACCCAAAAGAAGAATAACCTACAAGTGAGTAGGGAGGGAAAACTAAAGCCTGACAGAGAAGAAATTAGTTAGGGTAAGTCTCTTAGAAGTATGCTATAAATATAGGTAGAGAATAGTCATATAGGTAGATATAAATTGATAGTAGAATGAGAGTAGAAGAAGAGTAGTACGAGAATAGTTTCTTCCTCAGTAGCTCTTTTATCTGTAATCATGCTTATTCTTTACATTTGTTTCGCGGGGGTTAGTCACTAACAATTAAAAAAGGATCAGACGATTGTGTAAGGGACAAACCTCTTGAGATAAAGTCCCAAAAAGGGACGATTTTATTGGCGATGACTTTACAATTGGAAAATAAAAACAGAATGCCTCCAAGGGACGCAAGCACACGAGTTACTGTAAAAGAAGTGTTTAAATCTAAACTAAGAAATTGAAAGTTACATATTTTCTGTTTGAGAGTGTTTGATTCGGGGTCCTCTGCTCTATGTTTTTTTCTTCCTTTTATATTCTCTAGATGATCTCTTCATGATCAACCGCTTAAAAACTGCTTGATCGCTCTATAACTGCCCACTTTCCTTGTAGTGGACAACTTGTCATGAAACTGCCTGCTGCCATTACTTTTGTCGTTCAACCGTCTTCAATTGAATTCCTTGAATTGTGGAACGTGGTAGGACTACCCAGTAACTGCTTTATTAACTGCACCATAACATCTTACGTTTGCTAAATGTTTGGACGAGAGCGGGGTCACAGCTCTGGGCGACTACATGGCGATTCATTCGCTCAAATCTTGGGCGACTTGCAACCTTAGGCGATGGTATTACCGCATTCACGGGCTTCCCAGTTTGGGCCTTTATCCTGCATTGCCTGATTAATTCGTTCCTTGGGCTATCTGATTTTGGGGATCTTCTAATTGGGCTTCATTCCTTGGGCTATTCTAGTTGGGCTGAACTTTTTGTGTGTTAACAATTACCCCCCAATATGGCAGAATTAATACCAATTATTAATTTTTTGCCATATTCACTTTGTGTTTCCCAACAACATTCGAAATTCCCAAGAATTTCAATCATTGTTTTCTTCCATAGCCTGAAAAAGTGCGACGTTTGCAAACCCTTATAACCCCCAAATACGCTATTTCATTGCACCACTAAATCATGCCTCATTTTTTCACGCCTCTCTCACAATATTACTATTCATCTCCTTGCTTCTCTGCTACGTAACTCTGCAAAACTCTATTTCGTCCCTAATGGCTGCTTCACAATCTCAGTCTGGTGACTCCTTCAATTTCGAAGACTTTCAGAAACTCCTTACTCGGCCATATGTAACTCCGAACTTTCTTACACCGGCCAATATCGAACTCAATGAGTTCTATCTAGTTCCTTCATTCAACAATGCCGAGGCCATCGAACAAGCGGCGGTCGGTCAGTTGTTCCCTTGTACTCATGGCCCTCCGTTTCTAAATTCTTTGCCGCTGGGGCCATTTCGCGAAAGAGGTATTCGCACTTGACCTAAATCTGATGTCGTTTTTCGTAGATGGCATACTTGCCTTGTGGACCATGGTCCTACTAAGGCAATTTTTGATAATGCTAGAATTTCTGATTTGTTAGAAATCTCTCTTCAGCCTCCTATTTTTGACCCAGTACTTTTTCCAATCGCTTTAAGTTTTTGGTCTTCTGAGTATAATACTTTTGTTTTTCCTCTTGGTCCCATGTCCATTACCTTAAGGGATATTGGAGCCCTAGTAAATCTGCCACCTTTGGGCGATACCATTTTCCATGGTATTTTGATTTCTGGTGTCGCCCCAAAATTTGGTAAAGGCCTCACCGAGTCTTATTCAAGTCTGCAAACCCTTCATAACCACTCGAGCGCTGAGCCTTCCCATACCGAGCGAGTGGCCGTTCTTCTGATTTGGCTTTGTAAATACATTTTGTGTGTGCCAAGCATAAAGCCCTCCCTGAGCTATTTACCCATAGCGCATGAATTGGCGCGTGGTAGACTTCTGAATTTATGTTCTTTCTTTTTAGCTGCCTTCTATAGAGGCATGGCTTCTCTTCAATCCCAATTGAAGAATGGTGCATCTCCCACTTGCAGTGGACATCTTTGTTCGCTCAAATGTGGTTGAAAGTTTATTTTCCATCGCTTGGTGCTCCATCTTTTCCAGCCCTTCTGCTAGCTGCTACGGACTAGCCATTGAGCCCCTGACTCCTGTAAATATGTCCAGAAGGGACATTTTTTCATTCTTTTATACTTTGGATTCAATCCCTTCCTTCTTTCCTTTTCCTCCCTTTTTAACTCCAGATTATGTGCAACCCCCATCCACTCTGGATAAGGCGAACACTTCCTTGTTTATTTGGATTCAGTTTTTGACCGAGAGGGAGTTGTTCCATGATATTTTGACTGGGACTAATGCCAAGGCTGGGGTAGAGATATATACTCTCAATTTTTTGCTCGCCAACTTGGTTTTGGCCAAACTTATCCCGTTTCTCCTTGCTATTCAAGGAATTTGATAGACCGCTTCCAAACTATTAATAAAACAGAAGCGGAGGCTATAAATACTCGCAATCTTCTTTTGACAAGTAACTTCTCATTAGCCCCCTTCAATCCTAGCCGTGCCATCCATCCTCTTTTCGAACGACTCTGGCCGTCAGTGAAATGCAGATTGTTCGCGACTGATGCCAATCGTGCTTTCCATTCACTAGACCAGCCAAACATTTCTTCCACCTCTCTTGTTTTGGTCACTCCTGTGTCCAGTAGGAGTCCCTCTTCTTCTGCTCGTGCTAATCAATCTGCCCATCCATCGACTTCTCTTCCTGCCAAGCCCACTGCAGCTAAAAGTGCCCCAAGCTGCAAACGGCCAGCCTCAGCGTCTCCCATTTTGGAGGATGATGATGATGATACCTCTCTCATCGTCAGGAGAAAGGTAATTAAATCGGTTTACTCATAAGCATACCTTTCTATACTTGAGGCTTTTCCATGTGCTGATAGTTTATTTGGACCTCTCAGAAAAGTTCAACCTCTCCCTTGAAGGATTTGGTGTTAGCAGCTCCTGCTCCATCATCCTCTGCTGGGGCTGATT